TTGTTTATACAGAATCGGTCACTTTCAATGCAGGAAAAGAACCCATAGCATTGATCAGCAGAGCCTGGCAAGACTAAGCCATGCTGAGTCCATACCCTTGTAAAAAGTGCGAAACCTACCTGGCTTCTACCAACACCCCTGGGATGGTACAGCGGTGAAAGCTGATCATATACCATCTGCCAAGTCGGAGAGCTAACTATGAGATGTGCAATCCAGCAGCTACTTAGACATGCCCCTCTTGGACATCTGATGATCAAAGACACTAGGACACTAGAAAGGAACTTTAGACCTTTTCAGTTTGTGGGAAAAAGCACTTGTCAGTGAAGTACATGGAAGGAGACACTGTATAACTAAATTGGAATTACGACACCATTTTCAAAGGGATCTAAGATACAAAACCACCCTTGCCATGAAAAATTGAGCACTGGATAAATCCAAAGTGCCTGAACATTACTCATTCTGCAGCAAGAAGATATTGACACCAACAAAGTGAATGATCACTTTAAAACACATATTGTAAGAACCATGAGATTTAAGACATAGCCGCAGAGAAACTGCCCTTACCCTACACGTTTTCACTCTGTGATTTAGTTCAACTTTCTTGTTTGGTCTTAAAGATTTGAAATAACTTTTCTTTCCTATTGTTTGACAGTCAGACTTTCAGTGGTCAGAAAAAATGGATGCAGCTTTTCCTGGGAAGACTGGCCCATACTGCAGCCCTGGTTGTGGGCATTTGAAACAAGTCCTTCAGCTCCTTCTAACATTCAGTGAACCAAGAGCACAAAGGCGATGCTGCGTATGAAGTTTTACTGACAGCCCCTCTAGGCTGTCTGAATCTCATTTTGATTTCCTGATCATGTGCTCCACAGGCACTCAGAAGCCTGAAGGCTTAAAATCTACTATCAGTCTCTTTTATTACTGCTCAGAAAGTAATATCGCAATATTTCACTGACGGCCCGACAAAAGCTTTTTTCTTCTGTGAATGCACATAACAATGCTGCTCAGCATTAAGAACCGTACAGATAGTGACAAAGTAAGGTAGAAAGGATAAACAGATTTTCTAACTTGATTCGTTGGTGGCTTTCTGGCATCAAATGCTGGTATTAAAGACCTGCAGGCTTATTTCCTCACATACATTCAAGGAGCCCTCACTCTAAAAGTTGTTGCTCTGCATCCTGTGCCTAAGTCTGGCAGGCAGTCTAGGGACCACGAATGCCAACCTCCTTCTTTCTTTGCACCCCCAAAGCCTAAACTTCTTATCCTCCTGACTCACATTATGGGAATTGAATTATTTTATTTCACCAAGGATCCTTTAACAGCATATACACACTATTTTTACCACATTCTTACTACTCTTGCTGATAAAGCATTTATTGCATTTCAGCTTATTTTGGAGTTCAGCCCAGTTAGCAGAAAAGACTTTAGGTGCGCTACACTGCTGATAACAAAGGTGCTGCAAAATTTCATGAAATTTCTTCCCCAAGTCACCTTCTCTTCTTTCATTATCATAAGAAGACCTAAGTAGGCCCAGTTCTTTTTCCCGCTCTGAAAAACTGAGGCTCATAACACAGAAAAACAAACATTTTTTTCTGAGAGTAAAAACAACACATGATCTGGCAACTGAACTTCTTGCACACCCAGAACTTTGAGGCCCATCCTATGTATTTAGATGAATTTTAGTTTCCATGTTTGGTTTTGGTGCTCTCATCTCTGAAATCTTTTCAATCCAGTGTGCTTATGTGAAAAATCCCTGAAAAACAAACCTCTGTAATGAAAATGTTGACAATTTTAACTAAGTGTACCACTGCTGGGCACTGGAAGATTAATGGCATATCCAGGGACCGTACTCCAGAGAGGCCTCCAGGATGCAGCACTTGCATACTGTACCATAAAACTGTGATACAAATGTCCCAGTATTTATCCGGGAGCTGTAACAACACACATATCTATCCGTCAGACAGGACCCCTTTTAGTATCACGGGATCTTGCTATTGTAATAACCCTGATCTGGCACAAAAAAGGTGTCTATGAACAATCCAGTCCCACGGAATTCACATGGATTTCCTAATATGCCTGAAGTTCACCCTCGTTTAATTCTTTTCAGAATCAGGATCCCTTAATACATCACAGACACGTTTAACACTGCAGAGAAGTACCACACTTCAGCTTGCATCTCACTGTCAGCTCAATGTCAAAATGTATTGTGAGAAGAGGAAAGTAAGCTTTCATGCTACAGTAAATGTAAGCAGTGTGTATTCCCCCCACTACACACAGGCACATGTCTATGCAACAATTGGTTAATAAAGAACAGGCAACACTTAAAATTACAACATTAGAAATTTTTTGCCTGAAGAAGCAATCTCTCTCATAAGTGCTAATCTGGTATTAATTTTATTCAATATTATGGCTTAATTTACAAAACAGACATTATGATTATTAAAATGATATTTCTGTATAAGAAATAATTCCCTGACACACTTAATTTTTACCCATCTCTAAATCACTACCATATCAGCCTTTCCTTCACCTCCTCAGAGCCATTCTCCTTGAGCACCTTCTGCAAAATTCCTTCCAGTTGCCTCCAAGACACTCATGCTGTGACCCTACAAGCACCCATTAGCAGCCAGAAAAATCGAGCTTCTTGAAAACCAGTGTTTTATTCAAACTCTGAAGAACCTTTTCAGCAAATAGGAAATTCACTGAAAAGTGCAATTACCATTTTCCCAATACAATTTTCCTGCTTGCTAAGTTGTTTTAATTGGGGCAAAAGGTAACAAGTCGAGGGAGTCTAAACTAACCTAAGTGTTGCTATTACCAATGTCATCCTATATACAGCACTTGTTAAAAATCCTTGGCGTTCAATTCCTTTCTGCTATCAGAGAAGATCTTCCAGATCAAGACTATGCCCTTCCTTGCGTACAAAGAGCCATAAACTCTTCCGGGAAAGGGAGCTCTCATCCTCAGAGTTTGTTTAGCCTAAAGAAAACAATGTTCTCTGAAGCAGAGTGTGGAGCACAGATCTACCTTCCAATGGGAGTTTTCACCACCGTGTTCCTTGGTCCCTTTCTCATAGAAAAGTAAAAATTTCAGACTAGAAACTTGAAATGGTTGTTACTGTACAGCCTGGCCACAGGGGCACACCAGGCGGTGTTACCTCTCAGGCCAGGGCTTCCCACATCCTCCGTGAGTGCTGACAAATCACCAACTTACATCTACATTTCTTTGAATTTTTCTCTAAAAGAATCAAAATTTTAGGGGTTGTTTTGGCATTAAAAAATGAAACTTTTTAAATTTATCTTGAGCCAAACACATTTTTCTCCCCAATTTTTTTTCCAGTCAACTACTAAACCAGAAGAATCAATTATGCATGAGCAGCCCTAACCCCAGTGCTGCATACCGATGGACATAGTCATCTCTTCGCTTCCACTGCACTGAGTTCTTTCTACCAGTCTCTATTCATTTAGTTTACAAAAGAAAGCATTTCTAACAGAAATTGTCAATGTTGCTAGAAAATGAAATCATATTCCAGAATTACTGCTATCACCTGTGACCTTCTAATTCTCACAAAGCAGGTGATCCTGGTTAATGACTAAAATGCAAACAACTGCTTATCAAAAAAAAAAAAATCAGATCAATAACGCTGACACTTCAGTTAATGGTGTGGACAGTCCGCCATAAAAGTGTATTTCAAAACATTCTATCTAACCCAATTTTAATGAAATTAAAATAAATCAGTACTGCAATTCCCTGAGCTATTTTAAGCCACCTATAGTTTTATAAACAATAACAGCAAGGATATATTTTTGGAAAAAAAAAAACAAATACATTCAAGGAACAAATGTGGTCTTTTACATGTAATTACTATATATAATATTCTGCACTCCCACATAAATCTGAAAAAGGCAAAAATATCTGTAATTATGTAAGAAAGTTTTAGGCTAAGCAGCAAAACCACGTAACTAACAGAGAAGATGATATTGCTGCGTAATGCCTTCCAAAGAGCATTTTATATAGTTTTTATCTGAAAATGAGAAGAATGCATGAATTAATTAAGAAATTGCCCATTTGTTACCAAAACTACTTTGTCATGTAAATGAGCAAAAGGTTTTGAAATTTCTCAGATAAAAGTATGTCCCAGAATTTGATCCAAGATCAATTCCTCAGTGTTCACATAGGATTTGCATAAAAATTTCCAACAGTATTGAAACAGTAACTTGATTATCACAACAGCTGCTTTTTATGAAATATGTGTAGTTCTCCTGAAACATTCAGATCACTATCTTCCCGTAACATTTCAAAATCACGGAATTTACATTACACTAAGCCTGTGACAAAACAGCCAATAATGGTATAATAAACTTCAAAGGCCTCAGACACTTAAAAGTTTGGCACATTCATCTGATATTCAGCTTGCATGTTGGTCCACAGTACAAACTACCACACAATGCACAAATCTTTGGTTGTAGAAGCACTCTTCAGGATCCAGAATGGCTAGAGGCAGGCTGAAATAAGGCAGTAAGACTTAGCAAAGATAAAGACTGAGCAAATTCTGGGCTCTGAGCAGTGCTGTTACTTTGCTGCAAATATTTGGCATTAATTTCAGTATGGAACCTTACCAACTTTGAAAAATCATTTATGATTGTCACTTGTCACTCAGAGGATTTGAAAATTATTTAACCGAAAAACTTAATGATTCAAGAATTATCCAGTTCTGAAGGTTTATGGCAAAACGAGAATTTGCTACTGTTCGTCTTAAATAAAGAAAAGGTAAAGAAGTGAAGGCACATGTTTCATTATAGCTATTGGAAAAGGTAACTATAATTACGAAGGGAACTGTAATTTTAAGACAGAGCACCAATGTGACAAATATAATTAGGAGGAAAAAAAGAATGAGTATATATTAATTGGCAGAATTATCTCAATCCTGAGAGCTAAATTTAAATATTTCTTTAAACAAAACAATCTATACATTCTTAATTATATTTTAACACAATACCCACCTTAGGACACACGTGTAGAAACCACTGTCTTGCAACTCAACCGAGTGAAACCATATTGAATCTTCATCCTTGCTCATCCTAACTTCAGAAAATATAATGGGTTCTTCTAAATCTCCTTTGTTTTTGTACCACATAAGCCTAAGACCTGTGCTTTGGGCCATGCTATAATTAGTTCTGATATAGCTGTAGAAAAGGGCACATTTCACTCGGACTGGTTCACCTGCCAAAGCCATGTATGTCTTGAGATCCACTGACCAGTCAATGCAACCATCAACTGAAAGCAAAACAATAATAAAGAAAGATTAGATACAGATACACTTTTTCAAGATAGTGAGAGGCAGCCTGTGAAACACAGTGCAAATAATCAAAAGAAAAGAACCTTTATTTTATAGCAATATGAAAACCCAAAGCAGCTATTGGCAATTAAAGAGTTTTATAGACGTTTTAAAGTTACATGTAAATGCAAAACGTACAGGCAATTAATAGAGCACATTAGGCTACTCAATTCCATTTCTTTAGAGAGTCATTATTTTCATACCCAGAACACTAACTCTTTAATAAATAACCCAAGTGTTTTCACCTTAACTGCTTGACCCAATAAACCAGTTTTGAATTACGTAATTACTTGCTGGAGGAAAATGTCCTTTGACATATGATCTTACTCTGTCCCTTAAAACTTCTCCATTCATCTCTGCCAATTTTCTGTTACATAAAAAAAATCAATAACAGATGTGACATTTATCATTTTATTTTCAAAGCAGTTCCACACAGCTCTTTTTTCTACACCCTGCTCAAACTGCAGAGGGAAGTACTATATACAACGGGATACAATTACAACACACTACCAATGCAATCAAGTTGAATAAAGGAACAGTGCAAACGTGAAAGGGGATCTTTTGATGTTCTGTTCAGCGAAAACATTTGAGGCACTTTTCTTGGCTCTAGAAGGTTTTATACCTCACTTGATCTTCACTCTATCAAATGCCTACTTTGTATAATTTATTGCTCGTATCCAGCTATATGTAATTGGAACATCTTTAACCTTCATGTAGCTATCCCAGATTCAACCAACTACAGCTCAGGTTGCCTCTTCTGCATTTCCAGTATCAGTTCTCAAACTAAATGCTAGATGCTCTCATATACTCTTCATTTCACATACATCTTGATAGCAGTCACTCATTAACTGATTTTTATTTACTTCCTAAACAAATGTGCAGACACAAAATTGTGCACATGGTGGTATATCAAATTTGGTCCTTTTTAGCAGCTTGAACTACCTTTTAATTATGCGTCTGCCACTTATTCGGGCTTCTCTTGAATTCTTCAAAGCTAGCCTTGGTAAATGGAAGGCTCTAACACTCACATTGCAGCATAGCAGCTTGAGTTTTACTGTGACCACTAGAACCAAGCAACTGAGAGACATATATCTTAAACTTGTTCATAATGCTCACTTTCCTTTACATTTCTAATACAAACACTTCCGTGTATCATCTTGGAAAAACAAACCAACTTAGGTTCAGGGGATGACAGAGCAAGAAGGGAAACCCAGTGCTCGGGACTCTATGCTTACTGCATCACCTGTCAGGAGGGCGCTGAGGAGCAAAGGGAGATGGTGCAATGGCTGGGCTCACCCAGCACCACGCAAACCGCACTGCAGGCGTCTGCTGCCCACCCAAACAGCCAGACGGAAATGTCGCCACTGGTTGTGCCAATCCGACTGCTTATTTCAAAGAAAAGAGCCCCAACAACAAAACATTCACTCAAAGTTATGTATACCTTTTTTCACTTTTCAGTTTTTATTTCCACACTCCTTTTGTTGCTGATTTAAAATAAAACCTTTGCTTCTTGTTCTTAACTGCAACTGTTATTGACATAAAATGAAAGGCTGATAAAAATTTATTGATTTTTCTTCCTTTTATTACTGCAACAGCATTTCTTCCTCTGCGTTCTCCATCTCATAGCTCAGTCCTACAAAGGGCAGGACAAGTTTGGCTAATCACTACTTGAAAACCACGTATTAAAGTGTTTGGGCAACTCAGTTTTTCTCACTGCATCCCTTTCACATTTATAACATTCTTCAGATTTCATATGGCACGCTGCATCAGCACGTTATAATTCAACAGTCTCTTGCTAGGATCACATTAAATACTTTCATCTAAATACATTCACCGATCTCTGCTATGGTGTTATATAGACATGGGCAATCAGCAGCAGGGCCGGAAGAAAAACCTCAATTGCCCAGGCCTACAAACCCATCCAATCTATTTATTTACATTGAAACCTGGTTCTGATTTTATATAGGTGACTTTGAACACTTTTGCTGTGAGCGGGTATCAATGGGTTCTTCACAAATGCTCTGTGCTTTCTTTAAGCTCTACTCTTTAAGCTTCACAATTAAAAGCACTGCAAAGCTTGCAGCCTTGTTTCCTCAGTGCAGGATATGAAAGGAAACGCTGATCTCTCCTGACTGCTCATCCTTATTCTTCAGGATACACAGACGCTCTCAAAGGCACCTTCTCTGCTGTAATTTTGCAGAGTCACACATGTATAAGTAGAGACATAAGCTGATAGGAATAGGGGTGCCCAGAACTGGAATCCAGATCCAAACTCATTCAGCCAGTCTCATTAATTCTGTCAATCTTCCATCTATCTAATCATGTCACGCCATTAAAGGCTTTAGAGCCAATGCTGGTTCAGCAAAGCCAGATGACAATAAAGAGTACCTGACCCTGAGTTACACACACAAACCTGTGGGTCAAGTGGAAAGGTGCCAGTTTCGAGGTACGCCACAGAGCAGTCGCAATGCAAAAGCTATTAGGAAGAGTTACGAAGTACAGCATTGACCTAACATGGAAATCCAGCTTTGGAAGCTGAAAATGCTGCTCTTTCTAATAAAATATTTCTCCCACATCTACATCTAACACTTTATCAACGCACAGCTCAAGCAAATGTTAAATATCCTTCAGCATCATTCAATCTGCCTCATCTTCGGCTTTCATCTGAAAACTTCTTCTCGCCTCTAGCGTATGCTTCTCTATCACTTCATATTCGAAGTTTCAGCTGCTCAAGTATATAAAGCACACTGGAATGGACGAAAGGCATTTAAATGAAGTTGGTAATTTACAGCCAAGTCATTAGACTAGCTAAAATTTGTCTCTGGTAGCCCCAGCAGGAAGAGGGAGACCGTGGGGCTAGCAATGTTTCCACAGCTCACATGGAGTTAACAAGACTGGTGGTTGACCCTGGCTCAAGATGTGCATCTCAAAAGGAGAAAAGAAAAAAAAAAAAGACGTTTTACACCCATTTTTCCCATTAATTGCATCCAATTACGAGGAAGGTACGACTGAGGGGAGAGCAGCAGCGAGCGATGGGAGCAGGAGCCTGGGTGCAGCGAGCATGGCGAGGGGAACGGCGCCGGCTGCCTTGCCACGACTCCTGCCTGCAGGCCACCTTCATGCAGCCAACAGGCACCCCGGAGCGCGCCATGAGGCGGAAATGACAGAGAGGAGAACCAACTGGGAATGAAGCAACGATTTGCGATAGGCTTTGTAACATTTGACAACATCTGTGGAGGGGAGAAGCCTCGCAGAGCGCCTCAACTAAATCTTAATTATTGAAGAAAACTAATCAAACAGAAGATGGCTTTTTCTCCTTGCGCTTTTTCTCTTGTGAAAGACACAGCCGAGAATGTTTCCCTGCATGAAGCTGTGGAGGCTGAAATCTAGGTCAGGCGCTCTCGGCTCGCAGGGCTGCGGCTCCTCGCAGGGCTGTCAGTCACCGCCGTGACTCCACTGTTGGATTAATTTGGAGTATTCTCAAAGCTGTCATTACAAATGACGGGAGCTGCTTAGGTGGAGTTTAGCACTCCATTATCGAGAACAAAGTTTGCTGTCATTTCTGTTGGGTTGGCTCTCAACATGTAATACAATCAGGGTAGTAAGGAGACAAAAATAATAGCATTAAAGAGAGGCACTTATTATATAATAAATGTATATACGTCTATTCTCTGCTACCCATTAATCAGCCGATCCTTAATAAGCGCCTGATTGAAAGCCCATTCAAATTAAATCCCTCTATTGTGGGTGTTTTTTAGACACTTTCAATAAAGACAATTATTTGAAATATTCTCGAGAATATAGGCCACTGAGAGGATATAGAAAATATCACCCCATTTTTCGCTCGACTTCCTAAGCAAACGAGCCTCGCCTGTCAGTCAGACAGTCCCCCAGCGCCAGGCGACTAACTTCCGACCCGTGACTAAACGCAACCCCATGTCCCGGAAGATTAAAGGGTTCCAACCCCTGTGGGCCCTGCGTAGGTAGTGGCGAGACCCCAACGCGTCCCCGCAGCTGGAGAGAGACCCTGGTGAGCCCCTCAGCACTGGACGCACGGGGCCCCTCGGCCCAGGGTGCCCTCGGCGGCACCGAGGAGCCCGCAGGTCACTGAAGTCGTTTGATCGTCCCCGTTATCTAGGCTAACGCAACCCAAGGAACTGAAAAGGAAGGCTGCAGATTTGCGAAACAAATCGCAGATTACGTTGGCTGACAGTGAGTTACTGTACTTCCATGGTAGCAATCACCCTACAGTGCGCACGGCATCTCCCCCCTCCATTTTCTGGTAATTTGCCATTATTCTTATTTTAAATAAATCTCTCTGTCTGGGGATTCTAGATGCATTTTAACATGAACCATAATAATTTATGAGCAATTATAGAAGAGCATGTACATAGTCTCTGAGTAATTTGTCTTTCTGCTTGCTGTCTTATAAATAATTTTCGCATTGCAAATCTGCCTGTAATAATTTTTGTAAGGACCTGTCACCTACAGCAATTTATATCATGGGATTGTTGAACATTTTTGCCTACCTTGTTACCTGAAATCTCATTTTAAATTGAAATCATCTTCAAATAAATAATTAAAAAATAAATATACTAGCTAATGTATTAAATTTATTGCTCCACATAGCAAGCAAATGCACTGCTGACTGTAAATATTTAGTCAGAAAAATATTCCTCTGATGTAGGAGTTATATTTTTATTTATATATTAGCTACAGAGAAGCTGTAGAGCTAGGCCACAGAAAACGCAGGAACGCTGCCAGCCTGCTGCTGCACTCCTCCGTGGCGCTCCCCAGCCTCCTCCCCACTCCTCGCACCCGACTGCACCGTGAGCTGCGTCAGCTAGTTGAGCCACCTAAAACAGCAACTGCAAATCCCTAGCCCTGCCTCTGGTTCTTGAAATACTCCAAAATTCAGAGATGCATTCGCTGGTCAGAG